CATCACCACCGCATTTGGCTTCGGCCCCGACGCCCCATCTCCATTGCCACCATTTTCAGGATTAGAAGAGGAGTAAAATGCGAGAGCGTTCCGACCTCCAAAGCCCGGCGCGGAGCGGCAAGCCGTGAAGAAGATCTCGTAGGCGGTTTCCCGGATGTCATCACGGTCAATTCCGTCGAGTTTGTTAAATGGCCACACTAGATCGTTCTCGAAAACGTCGACGTGGTAGTCCGGCCGGGCGACGGAGAGGAACCCGGAGAGAGACTCACGGCGGACGTTGTGGCTATACCCCATTTGGGAGGAGGAGGAGTGGAACGATCTCAACTTCTCTCTCTCTTTCTCTCTGTTTTTTTTTTTATTTTTCCTCCTCTGTTTCTTAGATTTCCGGCGGGAGAGAAGTGGAAGATAAGGCACACATTTCTCTTAAAACAGAGCCCTTTTAGGAGAAGACAAGGCACGCATCTCTCTGATTGTTTCTTTATTATTTTCTTTTGGTAGTTATTTGACAGAGGACAGAGAAACAGAGATGTGGCTGATCCTGCCTTGTTCGTCTCACAATTATACGAGGAACAAGGAGATGGGAATTTAACGGCCATTAATTCCTTTTTTCCTCGTACGAGGAAATGGGTCTTTCTAAAAATAACCAAAGGTTTCAGATTTCGATCTATTTTCTGCAAAAGAACCACAACATTTGATGCTCTGTTCTGTTCTGTTCTGTTCATCCCTGTCTTGTCTCTGTTTTCTTGTCCTCTGGTTTATTTAATATCAGTCACGTTTCATTAATACCCTCTTCATATTTATGTCTGAATTCCTTTATCTCATCAACCCATCATATAAGAGGTGACAAAATATAGGAGCTACTTCTCGACCCGAGCCTTAAATGGCATCCGACGTATTGTCGAACTATTGTTTGAATCCTTCATCCAACGTATTGTCGAACTAAAAGAACGTAATTGAATCTCTTTGATCAATCAGGAGGAACGATATATGCTCAACCATACATAAAGTAAAAGCAATTCTAGCTGACAGAGTTAGGAAAGTGGGAAGACTCGGAGGAAACTCCGCTGCAACCCACATCGCTAAGTTCGAAAATAATTGGTTGACAGGGATGTCAACCAATTAGATAGGACCCAGACACGAGGTTTTAAGCTAAGCTTCTAGCTAGAGCAACATTACGACTAATGATGAGATTTAGAGAAAATTCTAGTTTAAAGACTAATTACGACAGGGACTAAATTCCAACTTTCTATGAATCATATGGATTAAATTTATTATTAAACCAAATAAAAACGTTAACGGCCTCTCAAGATCTAGAGGTATAAACAATAGTACAACGCTCAACTAATCTGAATATTTGTTATAATAACATCATTATTCGCATCATCGATATGATCTTACAAACTCGAAAACCAAAACAGTACACCCCGAACACACATCACCAAACACCGCAAGGAATATCGACGTATTAACCCCTCAATCTTCGAGAACTCGTCGTCGTAGTAAGGCAATCAGTATACAGTCAGAAACACCACCAATGACTCTCAGCTTCCTGTCATTATACACATATTTGATGTAATAATCTACATAATTATACAGCTGCAAGAATCGTCCTCCTCGTCCCCCGAATCGCTCACATCGCTGCAAAAACACGCAAAGACACCGAATTCAAAATCGACCCCATCTCGTTAAGCTCATAACGCCAAACTAAGGACTTATTTCAACTCACTTTCTAAGCATTTAAGCACTTAAAAAGCCATTCTAAACGAGCGATAAGCAAAAGGACAGATCATTTCAACTCATAAGACAGCATGACAGACAGCCCATCTTCCCCAAAGAACATAAAACATACCAAAAAAATCCAACATAAAAGGAAACCAATCAAGCTACCTCGGTTGAAACTCCAAAACCTCCGCTAGGTTATTACCATTACTATCAGTCCACCGGACTTTCATCCTCGGCTTATTCGATTTCCTCGACATTCCGCCACGCCGGGGCGGCAATAGAGCATTCGATTCACTGTAATCTTCGCCGTTACCGGAATCCCCAACTTCTCCGGCAGCCACAGAATCCACAGCCTCTTCAACATCCTTAGAATCGCCACCCATAGTTCACCAAAAATCACAAATCCAGAACCGGGTGAGGGCTCACGGGTTCAAAATTTATGAACCAAACAACCCCATCACAAACCCCTCTTCGAAAACCAAAACCCTCGATCTAAAATTTGAACCAAACAAAGAAAATAAGGCTTAGAATCGAAAGATTCCCGAGAAAGTGACAGAAAATAAAATCGCCTCCAAACCCCAAGAAGAAAATGGGTTAACCCAAAACTGTGAACGGCGATGGAGCGGCGCGCTGTCGAGATCGGAGAACAAAAGGAATTAAAAGAACGATACAAGAAGGCGTTTACTTTGCTGTGATTGGTCATTAGTGATGTCGAATAACACTGTGGAAATGGACGGTTGAGATTGGATATCTAAGAAAATGGATGAGTTTTAGGTGGGTCCCGGTGGCAGGTGTTCGTTAAATTCGTTGCTCATAAATTGTCGGTTATCAGAACTTGTCCTTTCTCTATTCCATTTATGTTTTTTTTTTCAAACATTAATTGATGTCGTCAATGTGGGTTGTTTTCTTGGATCATGATATTTAATTTAGTACTTTTGAATTGGTATTTTTTTTTTATAAAAAATACCCATAATGTCGTAATATTATTATATGAACGTCTTGTCTACCAAAAAGTTTATAATATAATTATAATTTAATGTTAATCTCGTTAGTCAAACTTGCTTTTTCTAGGTTACTATGAACCAATTAAATTACGATAAAGTATTTTTAAAGTATGAATTTTGATTTATAAATAATATGTATAGTTTGATAAAACTCCCGGTAGAAATTAATTGTAATATTTAAAATTATAGGGATTAAATTTTAATTTTCTTACTAATGATATTTTTAATAAAATTATTCAATTTCTTTTAATGTTTTTGAAATTATAATTAAATTTTAGAAAATATTATGATTTTAATCCACAAATTTTATAATTAATCCTTCAAAATTATCTATTTTTTTTATTAAAATTGATTAAATAATAATAATTTTCTAATCATTTTCCAAAATTTAATGAAAATTAATAAATGTTAAAAATATCTTAAGAAATTGAACAATAATTACAATAAATAAAATTTAATGGTATTTTTTAAAATTTAAAAATTCAAATGTATTTTTGAAGGAGAATTGGAAAACTATTTTTAAATACTTTAAAAAACAAAAATAAAACCATTTAGAAAATTCTAAACTAAACCAAAAAATGAGAAAAAAATGAATAATTGAAGTGTGGATTCTGTAATTTTGCAAATTAAGAAGGACCATATAGCAAAAATGTAAATTAAAATTCAAGCCACAAGTTTGTGTGGCTCAAAACAAGGCCCCTCAACTCTCTCACAATTACACGAAAATATCCACTTTCGCAGAGCATCCAAAACCCTCCATTACGAACTTGCACCATGCTCTCTGAACTCTGATCCTTCCGCCATTTCCATGGCAGCTTCAATTTCTGCATATCGGCTTCACAAACCTCTTCCCTCCTCCTTCCATGGAGACTGGGGGTCCTCCATTTGCGGCGAAACCACCGGGATGCTCGCGAAATCGGTCCCGGAAGTGGTCCGAGTTGCAAAGCCGGTGAGATTCCGGCCAATGATGAAGAATGTTAACGAAGGGAAAGGCGTATTTGCGCCTGCTGTTGTTCTTGCTCGAAATATTATCGGAAAGAAGCGTTTCAATCAGTTGAGAGGCAAGGCCATTGCGCTGCACTCACAGGTAAATTAGTCACTTGAACGAACTGTCCTTATGAGTTTAGTGAGAAATGCGTGTTGAGCTTTTGGGTTTTGGACAGATTATTACGGAGTTCTGCAAATCTATTGGAGCTGATGCTAAGCAAAGGCAGGGTTTGATTAGGTTAGCCAAGAAGAATGGCGAAAGGTTAGGGTTCCTTGCATGATTTTATCACTCTGTTTCTGTAATCATAGATCTGTTTAGCTTCCATTTGTATATCTATCAAACACAATCTGAAGCATTATGTTTGCATATTCTTGTATATATTCATCGCTTTTAAGAAGAATCAAAGGATGATGAATGAAGGCCTAGAATGTTGATCAATATGATGACTCTATCAGGGTTTTTTGTTTTAGGTGTATTGCCATATTCAACTTAAAGTCATTCATCTGCATCTCTCTTAGCTAAGGAAGAAAAATAGAAATGGTATCAAAGTCATGTCCTAAACTTAGTCATGCCCTAAACTTAGTCAATAGAATTCTCAAATGTCGAAAGGACTCCCTAAACTTAGCCGGACTTTGTTTGAGGGGAGGTGTTGGATGAAAAGTCCCCTAATTTAGGGAGTGATCAAGGAATACTCTCGTGATCAAGGAATACTCTCGTGATCAAGGAATACTCTCGTGATCAAGGAATACTCTCTCGGTTGGTGTGAGGCATTTTGGGGAAGCCCAAAGCAAAGCTATTAGTATATGAATGGATCGATGCCACATTTAAACGAGAGATGAACTTGAGGAGATGAAACTATGGTTAAGAAAGACTTAAAATAGTAGACAGTTACTAACTATACCTATATGTTTCATGCCCTAGATTTACACCTTTATTCGACACAAGCAACTTTTGATTACACCTTCAAAGCTCAACTTCTTTGCTCGAGGATTCTATTGACATGACTTTACTTTTAGTTTCACCAAAAGGCTACCAGTGAATATGTAAAACTCATGATAAACTCCTTAATTAGGTGAAATCTTCGTATCTTTAAACTTTAAAAAGCAAACAATACCGAAATAAACTACACCTTATTCATCAATAATCAAGGCATTACATCTCTCTATGATCATCTCTCTGTCTCTCCAGATCAAAATACAATCCTCTAGCCGACAATCGTTCATGGAGAGTCGAGAAGAACAAAAGAAAATAGTTAGACATCCAAAACCAAGTTGAAATTCCAATGCTCAAGCTACATAATACATTGGATTTGGAAGCTTGAACGTTCTTCTTCCACTTGGAGTTCCCTCAAGGCTGCTGTATTGATCTCCCAATATCCCCCAAATGCAATACCCTCCTTTCACCAATCTCCTTCTCACATCTGACTTATATTTCTCCACGTCCTTCTCTTCATCGCTCCTGCAACCAAACAAGCAAACCCGTCACTCACCAAGCACAGACACAAGATTTGTGATTTGAGGGCTGTGACACTGACCTAAAGAACAGATCGGACCATCCATGATACCCCTTTTGAACGAGGTTTTCAATGGTGGCTGATCTCAGAGCTTCCCTTCTAGCAGAAATCAAAATGATATCCACTCCTTTTGCTTTCAATAGATTGAAAAACCTCAATGTGTGCCCCAAAACTGGTGCTTTGGCCTCGCTCATCCATGCTTCCAAATCTGTGATATTCAATTTCTTCCCCCTACACTCCACGAATCTCATTCAACAGAACAAACCCTCTCTCTAAAATTGCAATCAATCAGAACAGATTATACAGACCCACAAACATTCTTCAACAATCAAGTGAACTCAGGCATTGCATTAGTCAAAACACAACAAAATAAAGGGTATTCATCAATCAGAACAGATTCAACAGACCCATAAAGATTCTTCATCAAACATTCAAACAAATAAAGGGTATGAAGGAAACGAGAAAAGAAAATTACCCATGTTCATCAATCAGACCAGATTCAACAGACCCACAAGAAATCTTCATCAATCAAAACACAAAACCAATAAGAAAAGGGTAGGATGAAAAGGAGAAAGAAAAGTTACCCGTATTGAGTTTTCTTGTAATAGGGCACGGTAGAGATGAGGGTATCATCGATATCAAAGATCCAAGCATCAGTGCCGTCACCCTTAAGGGAGCAGCCCTTGGTAAGGTACACGATACATTCTTCAATCGTCCGCTCGGAATCAACTTTGTACTGAGTGGAGGAAACGTAGTTGCCAATGTAACCAACGCATTCTTCAGGAACCAGCTTGAAGTATCGGACATTGTGGAGCTCAACGTTCAATCTCCAGCTTTCGCAGTAGTTCTTTAGGCTGATTTTGAGGCCATTATTGGTCCTTCGGTTGATAATGTTCCAGTCTGCAGCTGTTACAGCCATGAAAAGGCAGAAGAATGTGGAGAGAAGGGGTACAGATTCTGCCATTGCCAATGCCATTGAGATTGATTTTGGGTTGTGAAATGGAAGGGATTTCCAAGCGTTTAAGTAGGGATGGAGGGGGAAAGATCCGAAGGACACAGTCAATTGAGCAAAATAAGAACAGTTTTCAACCCTGAATGTATGGTGTTCTGCCACCACAACCGGATTTTCTTTTCGTCAACTTGTTCAACATAATGTACCCTCCAAAATTTCAGACAAATGAGTGGCTTTACTCAAATTTATTTAATATTAGTAGTTATGAATCTGAATTCGACAATTATTAAATATTGGATGTAAATTGATTCATTTAGGAAAGCTCTAAAAATCAAGTTATATTCATGACCATACATTTTTCAACCAATTTAGTGTATTTAAAAGTTCAAATTCTTCGATCAATCAGTTTATGGTTAACATAGAATTGAAATTTCAAATAATTACATCACAACTTGGATCTTCGGTCTACAAGCTGAAACTCTAAATCTGTCTCGAATCTGAACACAAAAGAGTCTAGGGACAAAAAAAATATGGCAACCCTTTATTTTGAAGCCAGCAAAAGTAAGACAAAATACAGATGCAGATTACCCTATTGTTCACTAGCTCCAATTTGATTTCAACGCCCACGCTCTCTTCTCAAGCCTCCCATCAACTGTACCTTGTCGGGGTAAGAACACTTCAAAAATCATGCTTATCACTCATCGTGCAAAGCCTCTAGGATTTGAAGACCACATTCCACCAAAAATCTGGCTGATTTAGAAAATAGGAAATAGAACAATCATCTAATTGGAAGAGTACGATAAATCCAAGAAGGATAGGTAATTCCTGAATTCATTTTAGAAAACAAGTAATATTTTTAGATCCCAGGCTACATATGTCATTACATTGAAAACTTTCAACACTCATTTTCTAGAGAAATCTTATAAGCTTACAATTTGGTGTCGATTTAACCAAAGCTATGATGTAGAGACCAAATGGAACAGATGTGAGCAAGAAATTTTCACACATCTGTAACGATGGTCTCAGTCGATTTTCCAGACTCGTAACTGTATCAAACCATTCATAAAAGAAATGATACATGACTAAGTCTGGTAGCACCAGATTTCTCGCTAAAACAATTAGTAATCAAAATAAATCCAAATCCATAAAGTAACAAGCATCAAACACACATCCACCATTCTGCAATTACCTCTAAAAGAGAGAACAAACACGAATCAAAAATAAAAATAAAACTCTAGCAGTGGAGAGATAATGGTGGTAGCAGTGTGCCAACCTTCACCATAACTCCTGCAATTTCAAAATTAGGGCAGAAACTGGAGAGACGCAAAGAAGAAGGTGATAGAAGAGAACGACGGTGTAAGAGAAAGAAAGAAAGAAATAGGGTTCAACACGGTTGAAGGCTCCCATCTGATGAAGAGGTTTAGGGTTCTGCCCATATTTATTTACATTTTTAGAGGGGATGATGGACGGGCTTGGGCTTGGGCTTGGGCTTTAAGGCCCAGTGTACTGTGGGCCATTTTTAGGCCTAATTGTAGTGTTTCTTATTTATTTTCCTAGATTAATCTCTTATTAAATAAAATTTTATTTAAAATAATGTAAAAAATATTTTATAAATAAAAAATATAAATATAACGTTACTATATGATTTTTAAAAATTCAAAATTCAACATTACATTATAATTTTCAAACATGCAAAGATTATAAATCCTTATAACCCCTATTACGTACCAAGCAAGGTGGGGACAAGATGGGGTCGTTTAGCCAATGTATCTCTTCTCACTCTTTCCATTGAAAATTTCTAGTTTCGAAGACCCGTCGGAATCCTAGCTCCGGGACAAGACGGGAGGCCTATTTAGCATACAGGGAGAAATCTCTCCTCATTTTATCCCCATTCTCCGTTCAAACGAAAATTTCTAGCTTCGGGGACTCGTCCCCGACAATTAAAAACAAAAAAGTCAACAAAACTTCCCGTTCAAGACACGAAATTAAATGTCAACTTCAAAATCTTCGAACATGTCCCGACAATGAAGAACAAACTCAGCAAAGCTTTGAACTTTTTTATATTCATACCTCTAATTTAAACAATCATCCAGTCGCCATGTCAAAAGCTTGTAGAGATCAAAAAATGGAACAAGCTAGCTAAGCTAAGCTATGGAAGTTTTCCTTCCACATTCACACAAATTACAAATCACCTATTCTAATTTTCATCAATCTTCTTGTTATTTTAGCTCCTGTACATTTCTCGTTTTCAGAGCCGGACTTCGCGAATGGATCATCGCCACCGCAATCGAGAAAGATTGCAGAGATGACAGTTTCCGTTCGAAATGAACAAAGTACAACCCGTCGCGGATGTTCACCATCCTCAACGCTGGACGATCCTTCTCTAATCCCTGAAATATGTCATAATCATCACGAATCTAACTAAATTACTAAAATGATACAGAGGTCAGAGGTCGAAATCTCTAAGAGGGAGAGTGTATATATATATATATATATATACCTTAGCATGTACGTTGAATGCCCGACACTCGCGCGTGTCTGCTCGGCGCGAAGTATCTTCACTGACCAATTGGCCTTCAAGTACTGTTAGAGGACATCCAATGTCCCAACCGCCACAATCACAGTGTCCACCCGACCTCCACCGTTCCTTGAGGGTGGAAGGACCGCAGTTCCTTGTTCTAGGCCCGCCATGAAGACCAGCAGGGAGAAGAATATCCATGCTCGTCGAACATGTACCGATATTTCGAGCACAACAGTCAGCCTGCACTGTGGTTGCTGTCGAATCGGGTGTTTGTTCGGCCTTGGCCTGTTTGAGAAACTTTAGACCCCAACCTCCACGTCTACTGCCACGATCTTCTGGGATATGGTCTCTCACAACAATGGTACACAGCTCAAAATTGGGGGGAACGTCACGAGCACAAATTAAGTCGTCGGTGCTGTTGAATTTATCCGAGTTTACGACGCCTGATCTGTTGAAACTGGGCATGTTTCTTAGTTTAAATGAGTTACTTGTCCTAAATACTTCAGTCACCTTTCTAGGGAAGACCTTATTCCTCTTGTGAGTATTGTTAGAAGAATCCATCTCCAAGTCAGAATTTTCAAGAACACGGAACAACACGAATTCAGTATCTGCAGTTGTCGAATTATTCGAACAGACGCTATAAGACGTCGACACCGTCATTTTACCAACGATACAGGGTCTGCTATCTCTAACCTCGTGATCCTTTAGTCCATTCTTCGCGGAATGGAACAAATACACATAGCTCCAAGCCTGATCGTCTGATGAGGCGACCTTCGACGAGCTAGCTACATAGATTTCCTTCTCGTTGTCCACCGAGAAGACGAAGTGAAGATTTCCTTCCTTCCATGTGAACTGAAGCATTCCCTGACAAAGCTGTGTGGAAGCCGAACCCAAAGAAGACTGGTCAGAACATATAGAACTCGTGCTCGGAATAGGGAAAACCCTCTCGTTCGCTGTGTTAGATTCATCTTGATGACTTTCATTTTCTAGCTTCAACGAAGATATAGCGACGCCACCGAGAGAGTCCACAAATTCACTGCCTGGGAAGCCTTTGATATCATTCAAGTCCATTCTTACGATGTTCGACGTGCCATCTGTGATACCGAGTTGTTGCAATAAAGGGCTCTTCAATATGTTGATCATGCTCTTACTTCCCATAATTGAACCAACAAACGACAGTTTGCTCGAGGTTACATCCTCGTTGCCATCCACGCTTGTCGACGAGCATGCAATAACAAACTTTTCCAAATCACCCATCGCTCTCGTTCTTAATCTAGTCGTATCAGTCAAAGCATCAGTCTTCACCGAGCTCAAGTTTATAGATGCATTACATCGTGCAGCCTTCGATGCACTGATCTGTATCGATTCCAAGCATCGTCGTAGATATTTCTCATCTGTTGTCACCATATACTTCGGAACGTTATAGTCTAACCCTATCTTACTGTTAAAAAACGAATCGTGCACATAACTCTTACTGATTCGGTATTGCTTCAACTTCAAATATAATGCATGAGGCAGCATTACCCTCTTATTCAACCCTCTCGATATCGACTTCGACAGACCCAATTCACCATTTTCCAACAACTCATCCTTGTTCCTGTCACCGAAAGAACCAATTTCACTTCGTCGATCGGTCCGAGCGTTGATAGACGACGTTGGTTCCATATTCAATTCTCCAGTAAAGTAAGGATCATGAATGGCTCAAAAATCCCTCTGTTCAAATCACATATTTCTTAAGGCCTAAACACAAAAATTGAAAGAAATCTCATCAGATCCAGCAAACAATCATTTCATCTTCCCTCTCGTCCTCCATAATCAATCATTTCAAGGATTGACTGTTTAGATTTGAAGATGAAACCTGTTCTAAATCTCCTAAATCAAGAACTTATACAGAGGGCTTGAACTGGGTAAGAACAAAGGCATGAAGAATCAAGCTAAAAAACACCATCAAGCTTAACAGTGGCTTCCGATTGTTTCCAGAAGATGGGATAAACTCAAGCAAATAACGAAGAACAATGAAAAATAGGGCAAAAGATTCAGTGTGTCTATAATCCCACAAGGGAAAGTATAGATTTAAAGGCTAAACATGATTAAGAGAGATAAACCCACAAGCCACAAAGTGTATACAGAAAGTAGCCTCAATAAACAAGTACAAAAGGAAAAGAGTAGCATAATCATAACAATAACAACAGCAATAAACAAAGCATTTCCTCAAGAAATGGATCCAAGGAGAACCAAAACATCAATCCAGCACAAACCAATCAAAGAATCAGAAAGAAACAGAGAAACCCACAAGAGAAATCACCTTAATCTCCTCGAAATCCTCCAAACATTGAAGTTCTAGGCGCTTCAACTCAATGTTTTAAACAGAACCAAGTTCGCAGAGGATAGGATTTATGGCCCTAAAACTGCAAAATCGTTTACATTCCTGTAGAACAACACAGCCGTTTCGAATAAAAAAATGGTGGGGGGGTTTGTGAAGGGAAGGCACGTTCTGAGTTTCAAGGTCAATGAACAAAAATGGCGGTGTTTATAGGTCCCACAGCCATGGCTGGAGCGAATTCTTTCGCATTCAGAGCGACCCAGGTTCAGAATCTGCTAATTTGGAGAGGGAACGAAAGTGATGATAAAAGAGAGAGGAAAAAATTGGGGGATCGTGAGCTGGTGCGCATATGAGCCCACTATGTCAAGTGGAGCCCACTGCCCGAATTGCTTTCTCTAGAACAGAGTATTTGAGAAAGAACAATTTCTTTTTAATCATGTAATAATATTTGTTAATTTTTAAATTTTATTTTATTATAATTTGAAAAATTCAAAGCTTGAAACGATTCTCCAATATTCAAATAGTTTCTCACAGAACATTCCTCGATTTTTTAATTTCTGAAATATTTTAGTGTTTTTTTTTTTTCAAACTAATTAAAATACGTATTTTTTAATTTATTAAATTTTAAAAGGACAAACGAATAATTTGACTAAGTTGCGGTCAACCAGCCAATTGGTGACGGTCTTTTACATCACAGTCCGTGAGTTTAGCCTCCGTGAAAGTACGGATTTTTTTTTTTTTTTTGTGGAAAAATTAACTTTTAAAAAATAAATAAATAGCTCTTATTGTATTTAAAAATTAAATACTTAAAATATATTCCTTATATAGTGTTAATATTGTTATTAGAAACTCAAATGTATACGATGGACGTTAAAATGAATTGATGTCTACTCTTCTTATTGGTCGAGAAAATTCAAGATTATTCGGAGAAAGACACGTGGTTTTAAGACAATGGCAATAACTAGTTAGGGTTTTATACGAGCATACCTTAGAGGAGCACATGCATATTAGTGTCTATGCAATGTGTATCGGTATCGTATTGAGTTGTGATCGACCTTTTTTTTATTTTACCCGTGCAAACTAGTGCAAGCCAGAGGTATACACAAGTCGAGTTGGGTTGAATAAATCTTTTGAAGTAATTCAAAATTCGAGGTGGGTCAATTCGTGGCCCGAACAATTCAATTAAAGTTCATAACTAATTCACAAGTCACGATATATCACTAACACCAGTTACAAATGTTAAATATTCTTAATATTCACAACAATAAGTAGAGTATAATTGAATTTTGACATTATTTTTTGGTTGGTCGAGTTGACCTACCCAACAAAATGTCAACTGAGCCCAACATTTCATAATTTGGGTTGAGCAGTCTGAGTTGGTCGAATTCTCCAGTCATTTAAACACCCTAGTGCAAACTTGGTTAATATTAGATCGAGCTTTTGGGTTCATTGGATTTGTCCACGACCAACTCGAACAACCTCAACTCAATAATATGCTTGTCTGTGTGTTCGAGCTTTACGATATCAATTTCTTTTATAATTATTTTCGCGCAATAAAT